ATGTTGTTCCCCAATGGCTTCCCATGTTTACTAAGTGTAGAGTATTATGAGACAATGTGGTAGATTGTATTTTCCAATATGGCTGTAACAACATCTCACATTCTCAAGCTCTTAAGCAATGCGACTTGACCAATTCCTCGTCAGAAAGGGAAGCCTAATTCTGCTCCCCTGAAATTTAGACTGGCAGATGATAGATGCAAATATCTCCTTTCCCACGCTAGATGGAATGCTCCAGGATGGAGTTTATCTGGCTATGCAGAAGACAGTTGCATAAGATCTCAGTTACATTTAGCCATGATCAGTTTGAAAAAAACAGTGACATAATATCTCTGCTGCCATATTTCATTCCTCTTGTCCTTCTTTCCTATTGCCTGGGATTGCATTTCTTTATATAATAGCATATGTGTCTGTTCTGCTTTCTGGGAAGTGCATTATAATATACACAGAAAGGAGAAATTTCTTGATTTTAGGCCTCTTGACAAAACCACAAAGACTTATCATTGTATACTGGGAAGGGAAAGCGAACTATTGTCAAAAAAATTAAAATATTAATAAATCTAGGAACTCAGGACAACGATGTGTGCTGAGTGATTGCTAGGCCACAGTAGCAAAACTGCAGTGGTGTTACAGCAAAGATCTAGCTTAATTATTGCAAGGCAGCTGAGTGGAAGGACTGGAGGTATTTCTCAAATCCACTTCCTCAAGAGTTCTGAGGCTAGGGTTTTTAAAAATAATCTCAGGGTCCTAGGGAATGGATACTGCTGATTGGTTGGGGATGAAATTATAGGACTGTCCAAATGGTCTTCGCAGGCTGAGTCAGTTTCTGGGTGAGGGGGTCACAGGACCAATTGAGTCAGTTCCTTCATACGATTCATGGATCCCAGTGAGGTCAGATAAGGTTGCTTTGACACAAAAGTCTAAAAAAAATCTCTGAAAGACCAATCTTAGGTTTTACAAAAGCGATCTTATCTATAGGAGTAATTGGGAAAAAGTCCCCAATCTTGTGACCTCTGGCTAAATGAGTCCTGAGCAGTAAGCAAGCTAGGGAAGAACGGCTGGTTATTGCCTAAATATGCATAGGCCTTAACAGAATCCAGCCCTCTCTCATAATTCTAACCCTGTGGCTTTTTATTAGTTTTACAATTGTGGTTTCAGTCCCCTAACAAGGAATGGAGGTAATTTCCCCCAACAAAGAATGGGATGATAGCTACTGAACTCCTTGCTTTAAGTTTAAACTGTAAACTAAATTTCTCCCATAGTCAGTTTGGCCCATGCTCAGGAATGAGCCAAGGCAGTTAGCTTGTGATGTTAGAAGCAAGATAGAGTCAGTTATGTCTGAATTCTCTCACTGTTACAATTTTTGCAAAGGCGGTTTCAGTTGGTGGGACCTAAGATAAGAATGCCTGAGGACCACTTATTTTCAGAGGACTTAAGGGACAAGCAGAGGAAGAAGAGACCGCTTTTATGATAAAGGATTAGTTGGAATGGTGGGAGACACCCAGGTGGGAGTAACAATCTGGGAGCAGAGGTCCAATGACGCAGACATACAGCAAGATGAGGAATGAGGAGTCTCCATTGGAGTTGGTCCTGGAAGCTTATCCAGACACCAATATACATTGCAGAAAGCAATCTCTAAAAGATGGCTAAGGTTATTTCAAAGTGAAGCCAAATAAAACGTAGTCAAGCCCCTCCCACGTGCTGGTACTTTGTGATCACCTTTAATGGATTGTTTGTTACTAATAGGCTAATAGAAAAATTCTAGAATTTGTGAACTGAAAGTGAACTTGAAGAGGCTTATTGACAAAACAAGAATAAAGGAACATTCCAGTCTCATGGCTCATTAGAACTGGAATCCAGGTCTCCTGGTTCTTATTTACATGTCCCTTGAAGTCATACAGATCTTGAGATGAACAAGTCTATTTCATTTGTCCTGTAAGTCCAGTTTATGTCAATGCTTAGCACCTAGAAAATGTGTAATGACTGTTTATTGAATTAATAAATGGCTGTGACCACACTGTGAAAGTTTAAAGCAAGATGCTCTCTTGTTCTACTTAAACATGTACTTATCAATGCAAGAAATAGAAGAACATATTTTCTATAAAATAATCATAGTATTACATTAAAAATGGTTTCTTGCTGTCAGAAAGATTTTCATAAGTATAAAATCAACACTATGTTCTGTAAAATTGCGGAGGAAGTCAAAGAAATGAAAAGAAGAATATGACATATACATATCCTCTTTTAAAAATTATTTTTGGGGATTCAAGTTTTTGAGAGATGATCAGGTTTAACATCAATGCTTACTTAAGGTGTCATGGTTTAATTACTGGAAATGTTGATGCGCCCGTCATTTAGGTGGGGTCGGTAAGCAAAGTTCCTAAGTACGAGACATTTTCAAATTTTGTCAAAACACTTACTTGTGCTCAAAGTATGTTTGAACTACTCATACTGTAGGGCTCCCTGACAAAGCAGTCTGAATACTGTATAATCCAGCAGGAAAATCAAAGTTGTCAAGGACTGTGTGTCTGTAATAATGTCAAACCACATGATTAGGAAGATCTCTAGGGATACTAAAGTTTTAAAAAATTACCAAATACTAAAAGTCTCTTAATAAAAATTATCTATAGGTAAATTATTTAAAAATTTTTAAAACTATAATGATAGTTCAAGTGTCTGCCATACAGGTAGGAACTATCAAATAAGTAAACTTAGACCTTTATCCAGTGATAATGGATGCTTCAGAGTTCTTGTAAAGTGAATATACTATACTTTGATAATGACACATCTATTTTGTCCCTCACTCAGAGACTATTCACTTTTCTTTGATACACAATTTCAATAGGACCTAAGGCCACCAATTATGAAGGATGCTGGAAAACTTTATATATATATATACATGTGTATATATACACATATGTGTATATAAACACATATACATACACATATATATGTGTGTATGTATATATATATGAAGTGATTAAATAATAGATGAAATGTAACATATCAAGAAGCTGAGAAGAATGAAATACCCCTATAATCACCTGAAAGACAATGGTGGTCCATAGGCATTCACTATACAGGTGAAAAGCCCAAAGAAACTGTGAACCTTGAGATCCTAACTCTAAGTAAAACAGAATATAAGGTTTCCTTATCAGGGTCTCCAATTATCCAAACAAAGTCAAGTATATTATTTCTATTCATAAGACCTTATAGAAATACATAAGACATTTAAAAAATAGTTTCATCCAAAATGACCTGATTAAAAAGAGGTTTTATATTCATAGAAAATTTATTTAACCAGAAAAATAAGTAGCAAAATTGACAAGAATTTAGTTAATTAGGGTTTTATTTCATATATTTATAAATACATATTATTCATTAAACATAATTTATTCTATTGTAGGAAACTCAGTAACTCTTTTCTGGATTCAGTGTTAAATAGCTACTATAAAAATATCTTAACCATAATTTGTTAAAAACATAAAATGGAATAATGGACTTTTTTATCTCTTTTTAGATAATATTTAACTTAAAATCTACCCTCCAAGGAAGGTTAAAGAAATAAACAAAAATAAATTTACTACATTAGTGATTAAAATATAAGGCCTTCAAAGGATGTACAGTTATGGAGGACTCAGTTCTTTCCTTGTAAAGTCATGCAAATTGAATTTTGCAGAATATTTGGTATGCAAAATCTGGAAAATGTCAGTATGAATAAGCCCAGTCAATTGTTGATTCAACTTTCTAATGGATTTACTATTGTTTTTTTCTCTGTAGATTCTCTTTGTCTATTCTAATATTTACTTCACCGCTATGATAGAGACGAACGGGTTCCCAAGTGCCCAGGGTTTCTAAATTTGCTTTTGAACTAAACTGACAGTTATGCACTCAGTGGAAATAACTTTCAAGAAAAGGTAATGAAAGCTCTTCTCTAAAAATTGGGAAATTACCAGTGTTTACATAATTTAAAATACATTTCTTCTATATGGATTTCTACTTAAAGCTCATAATGGAGTATTTCCTTTTAGTGGTTTTCCAGAATCATTGAATTATATTAGGTTAATTGTTTTTAATTTTAAAGTAGAAATAACATCCTCCCAGGTATAGATAAATCAATAATTTTTAAATTTCTTGAATATTCATTAAAATATGTCACATGAATCAATTGTTCTTTCCCAAGTGTTTTTTAGCAATTTGTTAATACAGATACTAGGTTGTATCCAGTCTGTTTAAGAATGCATATTCTTAATTTCCTCATTTTAATGATGATAAAAAACTTCATGCCTGAAATTTATGTTTTCATTTCAACTTTAAAACCCCTCTCTAGGTCAAACACAAAGAACTACGCTGCATTTTGGAGGGATAGTTTAAGTTCAGAAAGAAGCACTTTCTGAGCAGCATTAATATTTAAAAAGAAAATGAATTCCATAGAATAAAAAGCAATATCAGAGTGTTTTGCAATCAATAAATATAATTATTTTGTAAATTTTATTTCCGATATGTTCATATTTCTGTCTGTGTGTGTATATGTGCATGTACTAAATCATAATATAAAATGTATTTCTTATTGTGGGTTGTGGTCCAAGTGTTTGAATGTTCCCGGTCTTTTAAAAATGCCTACACATAATAGGTAAGTGAGAAAGGATAGTGTTAGCAGAGAGAAAGAAGCAGCAGCATAGAACAATGTCAAACAAAGAAGAAAAGCATGATACACAGAATGGGCAAAAATATCAAATGAAATAGCATTAAGGGCCTCTTGTTTAACTGAGATCTTAGACAAAGCCATCAGACTTGACAGAAAAAAAGGTTTCTGGTGTTAGTGAAGCATGCAATGTTACTTGGGTGTTGTATGTAACAGCCAGATTTTTTAAAGAATTGGGACTGATAGGGAAATAATTATGTCATCAGGTGTAAGTGATTTATTCAAAGATTTCCAAATAAAACAGAAAGAAAATGAATAGTATTTAAAGACATGGCATGGTCAAGGAAAAGTGTGCAAAATGGTAGAAAATTGGGTGTATTTGAAAGAGGTGGTTGGATTTGAAAATCTGAAGAACCAAATGATAGATATAAAGGTAGAGTCAAGTCCTGTGTTGCTGAAAGCAAAGGTGGATTTTACTGTTGTGCAGTTACTAGAAATAGACAATGAGCAGAGAAGTGGAAGAAGGCTCAAATCAGAGGAAGCATTGTTAGAAATATATAAATTTCACAGTTTTTAGGGGTCAGAGAGAAATTATATTTTTTAGTTTTCAAAACTGCTATTTGAAAGGTGTTCCAAATAGAGCATTATTAATCATTTGGGTTATATAAAATCAGTCTTCATTATTCTCAACTTCTTTATTTGTGAATTTGACTACTTGCTAAATTCTTTGTAACCCCAAAACCCCTTGGCACTTGTGTGGTCATTTGCAGATGCGTGCAGTGTGGCAAAAACTTTGAGATGTTCAATGCACATGTTCCCACCTGAGGTTAAACAAGACAATGCTTTGCCCTCTTATTTCAGATCTCATGACGTGAACAAGCATATTTTTGGCAGTCTATTTAGTGGCATGTTTTTTTTCCCATTTTAGTGCTTTTTGTTGGTGATTTCACTGTTTAAAATGGCCCCATCATAGGGCCAAAGTGCTGTCTAGTTTTCCTAAGTGCAAGAAGGCTGCGATGTGTCTTACAGAAAAAAATATGTGTGTTGGACAAGCATGAGTCCTGTTGCCTATGAGTTCAGTGTTAATGAGTCAGCAGCATATTTTATATAAGGTGTGTTTCAACAAAAGCATGAATAAAACAAGGTTATATATTGATTTATTAATGGAAATGTTGCAACCAGCTACTGTGGAAACCTAACCCAGTATTCGCCCTAGAAGCAATGGTTCAATGTTTGCTAATTTAGTGTTGACAGTGGCTTTATAGAGCATAAACTAGTGGGATTGACAAAATTTGTGTCTTTTATTGTTCATTGTGATTTGTGAAATGTGATTAAAATAAGCTTGGTACTAAAAAATTAGAATCCTTAGGACATCAGGAAGATTCTATTCTTGAGCGTATTGCTTCCGACATATCAGGAGACCGTACATACATTGAAAATAGCACACAAACACCTAAGCAATGTGGCCTCTCCTTGTATAAAAGTCAAGGATGTGAACTAGGGGAAAGGAGGCCAAAAGAACTTTCATGGTTTTTATTACTTTTTATTTCAATAGCTTTTAGGGTACAAGTGGTCTTTTGTTACATAGATGAATTATTTAGTGGTGAATTCTGAGATTTTGTTGCACCCATCATCTGAGTAGTATACATTGTACCTAATGTGTAGTAGTTTTGTATCCCCAGGGCTCCTCCCACTCTTCCCCTTCTGAGTCTCTAAAGTCCACTGTATCACTCTGTATGCCTTTGCATACTCATAGCTTAGCTCCCACTTATAAGTGAGCACATACAGTCTGGTTTTCCACTCCTGTGGTACTTCACTTAGAATAATGGTCTCCAGCTCCATCCAAGTTGCTGCCATGCCAATTTCTGCATATAACCAGGCTCTTCACTAATAGTTCCTGATTTTTTTTTTTTTGGAGAAAGAAGAGTAGAAGAGAAATTAAACTAGAACTTAAGAAGTAAATGACAACTTCAACTTTATCTGAGAAGGTTCTGAATCCTCAGCACTTACAGAAAGGGAAAAACAACAGGACTAAAACAACAGAACTCAAATTTCAGTTTGAGTTGAACATGAAGAAAACATTTAATATTCTAAAGAATAAGTAGATAATTTTGTATATTTTTGTTATTTAGCACCATTTAGAATTTGAAATTTGAGATACAAGGAAATGGGGACTATTCCCATAGTCCTTGTGTGTAACTACAGAAACTAAGCTGGATAAAATCAAGAATGTTTTCTTGAAAAGTTGATAATTACGTATGAGAAGTGAATGATTTGGAAGAAATAAAGAAGAGGCCTGGGGAAACGTTTAGAGAACACCCTTCTTTAACGCATGTGAGGAGAAAGAGATATAAAGGAAGGGAAATTGGAACTAAATTGTAGCAGGAGAAACAAAATAAAGTGTGACAAAAGTATGGATACCTTAGCCTGATTGAAGTTGTAATAAAACTTATTTTGGTGTGAAATCACTTTTTTTCTTTTCATCAGGCCCCAACAAAGATTATCAGAATCTGTGTAAATCAATAGCACCGCTTCAGGTGCTGAAGTAAATATGGATTCTAGTTAGGGTAGTTTAACTGAAACCCTTTTTCATCTTGTCTGCTGAGACTGAAAATCTTTTAAAAAGTTTTATATCTGCCTTTGATTTAAGATGTTAAGATGCCTCAAAATCACCTCATTTTCATTGTACATTTCTGTGGATTTAAGAGATTAAGGCGAATTAGTTCTGATAACAGGGTGTAACTTGAAAAAGCTTGAAAAAGGATCCCAAGTCAATCCATTATAAGATTTCATCACATTTATCTTTTAATGTTTCCTTTAGAAATGTGTTACAGTAATGAATTTTGTAAAGAAAAATGGGAACAAGTAGGCTGAAACCCTGTATTGATCATTTATTCTATCATAGGAGTATCAGTAAATTAATTTCACTGAATAAAACAAGGTTTTATTATATATTATATTTATATTATAATCTATAATATATTTATCTTATAATCTATAATATATTATATTTATATTATAATCTATAATTATATTATGTATTATACATTATAACATAATTTATAAATTATAATATATAATATTTATATATTAAAGGTTTTATGGTTGTTTTATGGCCATGTCTTATTAAAAAATGTTTAAATAAATCATAGAAAAGATAAGTAGGCATTGCATTATACCTTTCTAGCCATGACCATACATAGTTATTGTATAGCAATTATTCAGCATATCATACATGAATCTATAAGCCTTTTTGAAAGAGTTTTCAGAAGATTGTCAAATTAAATATTTTTCAATTGTTTACCTGGATATTAATAACCGTAGCTTGTTAAATCATTCTGCATCCAGAAGGTAATTATCCTTCATAGTAATTTTAGATAGGTAGCAATTCCACTGTGACTTTCCCAGAGGTTCTCTATTTCATCTTAATTCAAAATGTCAAAATAGACTGCAATTGATAGAGACAATTCAGAAGTAAATGATGGATAAACATAAATTCTTATTTAAAAATGCTTCATAAATAATTTGCTATTTGATTTGAACTTTAATTGATAATACTCATGTGGCATCTAAATTATAAGAAAAACTTGGTTTTCTTGTAAACTGAAATATTTTAAAGTGACCTTATAGAAATACATTTAGATTTCATGTCACTAATTTCTTTCTTGGTAGTGATGATGGTGTTGGTATATCCTTTAAATTTTGCCAAAATATTTACATGATTCAATTTACAAACATGAAAGAGACCTTCATTTTTTAACAGTTTGCACTGACCATAAAAGTAGTAAGTCATTGACTATCCTTCTTGCCTAGGCTAGTTGCAGAGAAAATGGGCCATCTTGGAGGATAGGACCTACAATTTGGAACCTAGTGGGGAGACAATCTACTCAAGCCATGGTTTTAAAGGCGTGGATATCATCCACAGCCACCAATCTTGTCCCGTGGTTGGCCTAGAGTAGTTCAGTCCAGGATAATGGTTTGTCATGAGAGATAAACAGACCAAGGCTCTGAGGGGTGTAAGAGGGGAGATGAATAGAGAAGTCAAGAAGTCAGCCATGAAGACAAATTTTAGTCAGTGGTAATATCTTAGACCCTAAATTTTAACTAAAGCCAAGCTCTGGGGATTCGGGGCATTGAGAAAAATGGCAGGACCTTATACTCAAAACAATTATGTCATTGGGCAGGTTAATAAGACAGAAATTCCAGAAAAGTAAATAACACCAGGATCTGATTATCAGTAACTTTGAAGAGCAGAGTAATGTTTTTATGAAATAAACAGAAACCCAGTTATAAGAGTTGGACTACAAAGTAAGAGTTAAGAGAGTAAAACTGCTGATAGGATTTATTTATTTATTCAACAAATACATATGGGGTACTATTAATTACCAAATCCTGTGTTATAATTCTGAGTCCAAGAGTATTACTTTTTAGATGCTTAAAAGCCTCTTATATGGTGCTGAAATTACTTCTAAAACAGCTGAGCCTGCAGATGGGGTTCCAGGAGAAGTTTTGCACAGGTAATGGTTGTAGCTAGTTTTGTGTAGGCGGTTTTATACAGGTAGTTACAGTGTTGAGAAAAACTCATGTTCACTGTTGAAGAAGTTTTATAAAATGGACAAAAATACAGCATGTGTCTGTGTGTTTCTGTCTGTGGCATTTGCAGTTGTGTAAGTACTATTGCATCTTACACTGAAATTGAAGATACAGAGTTGTGTGTATATACAATTTCTCTAATTTAAATACTCTAACCAGCCAAGCAAAGGATAATTTGTTTTACGGTCACAATTCAATATAACATATTAGGAAGCATTTTTGATATGATGCATAGAGTTTTAATGTATGACATTAAGCATATTATTTATGATTAAAAGGAATAACCACATGTGAAATACATTATTACCAAAGAAGCTGTAAATCAGTTGGTGACTGCATATTGGCCAAGGATGAGTTTATAGTTTAGAAATAGTAGTTCTAATCTTCAGGATAGGGAGACAGGGGTTTGTGTTTTTGGTTATTGGTTATCATTCATTGCTCTTAGTGTTCAGTGTCTTATATACTTAATATAAGGCATTCTATGCTCCCTTGACTTCAGATACTCTTTGGTCATTATGTCTATCTGTGTGTGTGATACAACTTTATAAACACAAAGACACCTAAGAACATCCAGTGATAGTCCCAGGAATAATATTTATTCATTGTGAGGGATTTGCAGTGTTTTCTAGTAATAGGCATAAATGTAGTGTGATAACTATATTAACCTTCAAAAATTATCAATCCCTTTTGTTTGGCAGTGATTAGAACCAAGAAATGATGAATGAAAATGATGTTGCTTGATTAAAATTAGGTTTTACTAAAATTAGTACTGACTTTGTTCTTTGTGAACTAATCAAGCTTGTCATGTGAGTGACTGCCTTCTTTTCTTTAGAAAAGATTGTATGCAAATGAAATAATACAGTGGCTTAATTGCAAAATTTCTTACTGGTCAATCACCCTATTAAATATTTTATAATATCTTTATAGGCATTAACTCAAGGAATTTGTTTGTGATATGACTAGGGGTAATTCAATCATTTTAATTGCAATTATAGTGTCAAAGCATGTAAGTTGTCCATAATTAGTCATTAGGGCCTGAAAGTAGAAATGGTTATAGATTTAAGAACTTATATTTTTCTGTCAGAATTTATTACTTACCATTATGAATCTTTCTTATGATAGTAGAGGTTCAGAGAAAAGTATATAGAAAGAATGCATTCTTTGGATACTTTAATGTTGGTTATTTATGTATAATTTGGGCTGAAAGACTAGAGCAAAAGATAGGACCCTTCGTTCTGAAGCCATGAGGTTTGATTCTGAGCTCTTAGTTCTCCACTGCATATCAAAATGTCTATACTCATTTCTAACTCTTTCGTTCTGTTTTCTCACTTAGTAATGTGTGTGTCAAGCACTTCTGAGTGTTCTTTTCACACATCTCTGCTAAAATTAAAAGATGTCATGTTAACCATTTCAAAATATGAACAATTTTACACACTAGATTTGTTCTGTTTTGATCCAGATTGCAGAAATATGTCCAAGGGGAAAAGAAGATTATAACCTATCAAGAATATAACAATTGGCATTTCTAAGTTTTAGCATGCTGTAAAAAAATAAATTGGCCATTTCTCTATCAATAGAAATATGAAAGAAGCCATATTTTGATTGTCAGGAACAAATACTGTGAAAGAAATTTGTGTGGGAGGTCAGATTGGGTGACATGTGCTTTTATTTCACCTCAAAACATTTTACTATTATATTTTTATTTTTTGTTAAAAATATTTTTATCCTTTTCTTTCTTCACCAAAACAATATAGAGTTACTGGTAGAGACAGAATTTGATGAACTGAAGAAAATACATCAGTTGTTTTCACTCCTCACTTTAAGTCCTGGACCTTTATATCCATCCACATCCTATTTAATAAGAGAGGATTCTGCTAGTTGCAAGGTGAAAGGATTTCCTGAGCATTTGTGTTCTACTTTTTACATATCTATTGTTCCCAGAATTTCTAGGCAGCAATGTTTTCAGGAACAGGATCATTTTGACATTCTGGGGATTATGAAATTTCAATTATTGTCTCAGAAATCAGTATACTGCACAATAAAAGCAAATACACATTCTAACCCTTTACCAATAATAATAATGATAGTGACATGTAGTAGTTATTCACTGCTGCATAACAAATTCCTTCCAAATTTAGTAAGTCAAAACAACTCAGGAGTGGCTTAACTGGGTGGTTCTGGCTAAGAGCCTCTAATGCAGTTGTAGTCCAGATGTCAGCCTGTAGGTAGATAGTAGAATGGTGACTACCAGAGGCTTAGATAGAAGAAATAAGTGTTAATATTTGATAGTATAGTAGGGAGATTATAGTTAATAATAATTTATTATATATGTGAAAATAGCTAATAAAGAAGAATTGTAATGTTCTCAACACAAAGAAAAGATAAATAATTGAGGTGATGGTTACCCCAATTATTCTGATTTGATTATCACATATTATATACATCAATCAAAATGTTACGTGTTACCCCCAAATATATATAACTATGTTATATTATTTCTTTTTTTCTTTTTCTTTTTCTTTTTCTTTCTTTCTTTCTTTTTTTTTTTTTTTTGAGATGGAGTTTAGCTCTTATTGCCCAGGCTGGAGTGCAATGGCGCGAACTTGGCTCACTGCAACCTCTGCCTCCTGGGTTCAAGTGATCTGTCTCAGCCTCCTGAGTAGCTGGGATTACAGGTGCATGTACTATGCCCAGCTAATTTTTATATTTTTCGTAGAGATGGGGTTTCATCATATTGGTCAGGCTGGTCTCAAGCTCCTGACCTCAAGTAATTCACCTGCCTCAGCCTCCCAAAGTGCTGGGATTACAGGTGTGAGCCACCGCACCCAGCCTTATATCAATGTTTTTAAAAGGATGCTTAACTTGGGACTGGGCACAGTGGCACACACCTGTAGTCCCAGCTACGTCAGAGGCTGAAGTAGGAAGATTGCTTGAACCCAGAAAATCAAGGCTGATGATACGGTTTGGATCTGTGTCCCTGCACAAATCTCATGTGGAATTGTAATCTTCCATGTTGGAGGTGGAGTTTAGTGTGGGGCGATTGGATCATGATCATGGAGGTGTTTCTCATGAATGATTTAGCATCATCACCTGGTGCTGTTCTCTCGAGAGTGAGTGAGTTCTCATGATATCTGCTTGTTTAAAAGTGTGTAGCAACTACCCTCTTGCTCTCCTTCTTGCTCTTACTTGGGCCATGTGAAATCTGTACTCCCCCTTTGCCTTCTGCCATGATTGTATGTTTCCTGAGGCCTCCCCAGAAGCCAACCAGATGACAGTATCATGCTTCCTATGCAACCTGCAGAACCATGAGCCAATTAAACCTCTTTTCTTTATAAATTACTCATTCTCAGGTGTTTCTTTATAGCAATGTGAGAATGGACTAATTCAACTGCAGTGGCCATGATTGTGTCACTGCACTCCAGCTTGAGTGACAGACTGAGACCCTGTTTCAAACTTGGTCTGGGAGTTCCTCTTTCAAGAAGCACCACTCGTGACTATTGGCCAAAGGGCCTCAGTCCCCCATTGGCTATTGGCAGCTGGCCTCAAGCCCTGGTCTCACAGACCTTTCCACAGTGTTGCATATGAGAGGGCAGTTAACTTTCCTTAGAATGAGCGATCCAAAGGGAGAGCACACAAAGGAAGGCACAAAGCTGCTTTTATAACCGCGCCTCTGAAATTGCAGCCAGCATTTCCACCTTATCCTATTCATCATTAAAAACAATACACTAAGTCTAGTCCACACGCAAAAGGAGGGTAATCAGGCTTTGCTTCTTGAAGGGAGATGTATCAAAGAATTTAAAACTACATTTAAAACTACAAGGTAACACTTCTGTTGATAATAGCTGCCATGTAGTGACAACCTTCTATATATTTGAGATCCTTCTTTTTGAGCACAAAGTTAGGTCTATGTAACTTCTCTTTTAACATCCAATTTTCCCTGATACAGATACCCTGCCTTAGCATATACTCACAAAGCTATGCTTTCCCTTTCCCTTTGTTTCTTTTACAGTCCTGATTTAAATACTGAATTTTGTTTATCTGTTGATTTCATTATAGACTATAATGTGATCATTATTTGGGCATTACTTTGTCTTCCTCTCCTCCCTCTATTACGACTAGGATTTGGTCCACTGGTACTAGAAACATTTGTTTGATTTCCCTTGTCAAGAAAACCAATAGATTTTCACACATTTGTTCACAAGAGCTAAACTTTGTCAAGAAATCCTGGACAAAGGGGTTAGAAAATAAAAATGTACCTCCCTTCAATTTAATGTTTGAGGGTAAGTAAATTGTAAAGGGCCATGAATTCCCTCATATATTCTTATTTTCATGATCACCAAGATTTTAAAAAGTCAGATATACAGTTGGGTTTATCCTTAATTTAGAAAAATATGTTTTTCTCAACATTATGCATTTTACCGTCATTAAATCTTATGCTGTTTTGGAGGAACCTCCATGGTACACCAAAGGGTTCCACTTGCAGATTAACTACTAAAAAGAACTTTTCAAAGTAAAGGCTTTTAACCATAATAATCAACCAAGAATAAAGCTACTTATTATAATATTCCATTTAACTCAATTAGGGCAACTCGTGTTTAATTCAATCTATAGGTGTTCTCTAATAGACTTAGGAATTTTTAAGTTAATGGGACAAATAAATAAATTATGGTGAGAGCAAAGCAAATTTAACCCACTGTCATCTAGGGGAGAGTCTGTACTTCTAACCTTAGCTGGAAACTTTGCAGTATCTTGACTACACAATTTAGTAAACTGAGGTGGTGCTTCCCCCCAGGTGCTTATGTTGCCACCAATATCATCAGTATCATCATCGTTATCAGTTCACATTTATTGAGAACTTATTCAATGCGTAATACCTTGCTTACATTCTGTAATTTAACCATAAAATATCTACGAAATAATTCTT